GGTGCGGCAAATGGACGAGTGTAATTGCAAATATTTTTAAGAATTCTCTCCTTTTTCCTACGAGGAAGTCGAAATTCCTGCTACTACTGGTCTGAAAAGAAAGTCTTACGTCTCGTAGGATAGTGACGAATAAAACATTACAAAATTTTATTTTCGATGATACGAAGTACCCTTCTGAGTCCCTGATACTCATGTTGGCTCTGAAGATCATCTCCGCCCAGAGTTTAGAGCTTGACTGCCTAGTTGCCTGTCCTATAATTAGCCGTCTACTATCCTGGCGTCTAACTAATCTCCATGTGTACACCTATCCATGAAAATCGAATTCTGAAAGAGGATAGGAGTGTAATAGTGCACAATTATTTCTGGTTTGAGTGTTAGGCCACAAGCAACAATCTTCTGCTTTGAGTTGGCGAAAATCTAAAGTAAATAAGACAACTCCAATCGTCAGAGAAAAATATCAACGAGCTGGGCTTGGTAAAAATACTTGTTTATAGAATTATACGATTTTAGGAACTGCTTAACACCCTTGCCCATATGACTGGAACTGGGTTCATGATAAAACTTACTCCGAGCCGTTATTCCGTCTGGGCATCGTTATCTAACCAGAAGGAAGTTGCACTGCATACGTTTGGAATCCTGAAGTAATTTACAGTCAGATTATTTTAAACACTTCCGGGTTTTGAGTTCGCAGAGTCGGCCAATTGTATTTGGAATACAACTCAAAGATACAGTCTGTCTGAAACTCGTGCATACTATTTGACGATGCTTGCATAAATTTAACCAGAATTGAATAAGCGGGAATCATAGAAAAGATGCTGAGCAGTTATTAAAAAAAGAAATTACAACGGTCATGGCACCACCAGGCATAGTATACTAAACCAACCAATAGCGTGGCTCCTGGGAAAGCCGTTTATTTGAGCATAGGAACAATTCTAGGAATACTCTCAATCAGCCACTGCACAGTAACTTCTAGAAATTGTCTGTTCTTAGGTCTACCATAGAAGTCAGCACAAAATACACAAAATATAATGTCCTGCCATATCAAGGTCTTCATGGGCTACTTTACAGTAAAGTACAGTTGCTTCGTTCATGGATTTTAGTTAAGTGCCTTTACTTGGGTGGTCTGAGGACACTTAACTCTTTAAACCACTAAGATACATCAATTCAAGAGAGTGTTTTGCATGATTCACTTGGTTTAAAACGTAGGTACCATTTCAAAGCTGCCAAACGTTACTTGGTATAGGTCCGAAAGGGGTTAGTCACCTAAATCACTAGTTTCTTGCATGAATAATCATGTAAGCAAAAGAGGATGGCAGGAATAGGTCATGCATAGCGTGGCCTGAATTGTTTGCTTATGTAGCAGCCATGGGAAGTAACCCTCAGTGTGTTAAGTACTTCATTCATATACCGACATTTTATTACCTTTTTGTGGTGAGACCCCACCCGTAAAACACTTATTACCACCATTCTAGTTTTACACTATCCTGCGGTTATTGGTGGCTAAGGGAGTTTCCATAACCTACAGTTACCTAGCGGGTTTTGAAAAAGCCAAGTGAAGCGAGCCTTTGTATACCTCTAAGACCTTTTATTCAGCATTTTTGGATGAAATGGGAGAAGTGAGTAAACGTTTACCGGGCCTTCGGGAAAACAGGAGTGATTACATAAACGTATACTAGACTGGTAGTATTGTCAGCAAAGACAAAGGAGACTGAAATGTCTATTTCTGGCTTATTAGTCATCGTCAGCCAATCATATCCAACCCATAGTGGTGTACCAGTGAGGTTTGAACCCGTGACCTTTTCGATCAGAGTCCACTGTTCTAAGCACGTTGTCTTGTCGGTTTAGGTCGGAAGATAATGACACTCATTGATG